CAATTCAAGAATAAATGTCTTGATTGCGATGAGCCATCACTGATCATTGAATTAACTTTTCAAAATACTTGGCTCACCTCAGGCTCTCAGCAACCTTTGCAGCGTCAACTTTTTGAGCAGGTTCTTGCCAGTGAGTAAACCAGCCGGGATAAAACTCTGCATTAACCAGCGGTCCATTTGGTTGATATTTTCTCAGCCATTGCCAGTATATCTTGTACGCACTTCTGCTCCCTGATTGAGACATATTTTTATTATTTCTGCTGAATTTTTCAACATAAAATGACCGTCAATTAAAATCTTGACTTCAACTTGACGTGTATTTTTCTTACCAACTCCGAAGTCCAATGAAGCGAGAACATTTTCAATTTTTCCACATTTTAAATGTTTTTCTCCAGTCATGTCATTGGTAAAGAGAACTGCTTTATCGCCAACATATTTCTGGGTTTCATCTCTCAACCAAACCGAGTAGTTTTTGTCACATTGAAACGCACCATACTCATTTTCGACTTGCACCAATATGATTGGACCACCATTTTCATAGAGAAGACTTTCGAAGCGTGGCATTAGTTTCTCATACCAAATGCGAACCTCTCTCAAATAATCTACCAACACAATTGCCCAAGATTAGAAAACTTTGCTATTTTCATAAGAGAAAACACGCTTCACATACCCGGATCACTTGTACGAAGTTTGATTTTTGGATACTTTGATAGAAGCCAAAATGGAAGTCCTCCCTGAAAATCGAAATACGCATAGTTTATTCAGTTGGCGTTTCAAGATATTGTGTGCAATATAAATCTTCTCGAACCATATCACGTTCGGCACAAATATATGGACCTGGCCTCAGAATAACCAGCAAATCTTCCTCAGCCGCCAGTCGAATTAACTGCTCAACATCGGCGATTCCATCCCAAACATAGGTGCCGTCGCGAGGATTGTGCAACGACCATTCAACATAAGTGGTAACTGCATTCAAACCCGATGCTCGAAGTGTGCGCAACTTCTCGCGCCACGTTTGTGGCAGAGCTCGAAAGTAGTGGAACGAGCCTGAAACAAACCGAAACGGTTGACCGTCTTTCAGAAAGCGATTGTTTTCATAGTCCACACGAAACGATCTCTCCTGCGTGCGAATCTGGAATGAATTCATTTCAATCTCATCTTTCTCAAATATTTGAAATAATCCGTAACTCGAACGCACAGCTGCTATCCACTTGGTTCCGACAACAGCAAAAATCACGATCAGTGAAAATGTTCGCATTGTCTGGAGAGAAAAAAAACGAAGAACTCAAAAAATTAGTTCTTTATTTGTGTTGTGGATAATAAAAATGGGAATACAGAATTGTTTGAACTGAAGCGCAACATGAAATTTGACATGAATCGTCACTTCAAAGGATCGTGACATGAAAAATGTGAATTTTGAATGTGGTTTTTTGTGCTTTTCGCGAAAATTATAAGAGATAACGAAATGTTATGTGTTAACAGAAAAGTTATAGAAATGGTCAAGTCTAAAACTTTGCTGAACACACTGACGCATTATCTCTTATCATTTTCGCGAAAAACACAAAAAACCACATTCAAAATTCACATTTTTTATGTCACGATCCCATGAAGTGAGGATTAAAGTCAAATTTCATGTTGCGCTTCAGTTCAAACACTTCTGTATTCCCATTTTTATTCTCAGCGAGGTTTTTCAATTGAATAAATTAAGCTGAATAGATTCAATGATTGAAAAATATTGACAAAGAACACAAGAGTCAATTTAAAATTACTTCAAATGGTAGAAAACAACAATCAAACTTTTATTCAATGTACAACACTGGACTGAATGAAAATCCAAACTCAAATTCTCAGCGAACATATTTCACTAGCATCATTAAAAGTATCATCGCTACAGTTGCGATTAGATAGGGATGTATGAGTTTACTTGTGTTTGTATAGGCGATAAGCACCGAATACTCAAAATCAAAACAAACAAACCAATAAATGTATCTTTTTTGATGACATAAATCAATATTGTTAACGTCTCGATTAGGTTGCATATTTTAAACAGCGACGTGACATTGCAAGCAATGCGAAATGATTGCGACAAAAAATTTTGCAAATCAAAAAAGAATAATAAAGTTTTATGTGCCTGGGCACTCTTTGCGCTAAGTACAAGCATACGGTAGTTGATTAGGAACATATATGGTTGACTTGTGATAACAGGAGATGTCAGAAGCTCTGAATTTTGATTATTCGTTGAAAACGAATGATGATTGTGAGCCGTATGGCCAATCACAAAATGTAACATGGTGATCTGTATTGTTTACAATTTTATTCAAAAAATTATAATAATAATTCAATAGGAGAGAGTGTCCAAGAGTTTGGAATCTTTTAATAATTGTCAAGCCCGATTACATCTGACTGTGTTGTGTCCACGGTGGAATTATAATTGATTTTAACTTTTCGGCAAAAATTCTTTCAACTTAATTTGAAATTCACAATGTAATATAATAAATTGAAAATTTATTACTCACTCAGAAAGGAATTAGTACGATTCACATATACGAATGGTGATCTGTCAAATTACCATCATTACTATTGGCGAGAGTGGCGATTTTGTATGTATTGTATCTGCTCTGCTGTGCGATATTACTATGTCACAAAAATGTATCGGTAGTAGTATGGTCATATTACAACCAATACCACTTTGTTACACAGTAATATCGCACAGCAGAGCAGATACAATACATACAAAATCGCCACTTTCGCCAATAGTAATGATGGTAATTTGACAGATCACCATTGGTATATGTGAATCGTATTAATTCCGTTCTGAGTGAGTATTTATTATATTTGTTTCAATAAATAAAACAGTTTTTTGGGAATTGCTAATATGTTAAAAACGCATGAAAAGAGCCGGTTTTACGCACATGCCTTTATGCAAGTGCAAAAGTCGCGTAAAATGGGATCTTTTCATGCGACGACTCGCTCAATAGTTACGCTGGCCACCGCATTTTCTAGCAGCAAAATCGCTGTTGCCAGTCAGTGCCATGATTTGGTCTGGACAAAGGAGAGAAGAGCTCAAAAATTGACTACTTTGTTCCAATTGAATAATAATTAACGCTGGACGGATTCAGTGGTCTTTGATCGCTAACTGATTTCTATTTTATCCAAACATTACTTGAATAAATATTTGTTCTGTAACACTTTGTGCGGTGGACAATACTGGACTGGCAAACACTTTTGCCTTGTCTCTTTTAAACTATCACTGCTATAGTTGCAATAAGATAGGGATGTGTGAATGTGCTTGCATTTGTGTCAAAATCAAAACAAACAAACAAACAAATAAATGTATCTTTTCCGATGACATAAATCAATAATCAATATTGTCAACGACTCGATTAGGTTGCATATTTTCCACAACGACGTGAAGGTAAGCGAATCGGTTGTGTTTTGAACTTTGCGACAAAGTTTTATGTGCTTCGATACTCTTGTTGCTTGAATTCAAGTAGTGTAAAACATTTGATTAGAAACCAAAATAGTTAACTTACACCTTACAGTATCATGAGATACCAAAAATTCTGATTCAAAGAACTATCAAGTTTGATGAAAATGTTCGATAAGAATTTTTTTGACTTCCTTCTATCTTTTGATTGAATATTACAATTGCACACAAACATTTTAATCGATAGAACTTTGTTTTTATTTTTTATCGTTGCAAATGACGTGGTCAATCAACAAATTCTCCACCTCTAACGACAACCTTTCTATATATTATCTGAATCGTATGCTCTTTAATCTTATATTTTTAACATTTTTTTCTAATTTTACTCTAAATACTAAAATCACTGTTTACTTCATTTGACTGCAAACAATTTTATAAATCAAATTTTAAATTGCTGATGTTGTGTTAAGTGCTAATTTTCCTAAATGCTAATTGGTTTATCGCTGAATTCAACTTGACCGTTCTCCGGGGCTCTTTGTAATTCCACCATCACGATAAAGTTTTGCTTTTCGCGCAGCAGATCCTTCGGTAGATACAGTGTAATTTGAGGACCAACCAATGGCCAATA